CCCAAACTATCATTGAGACTTACTATTCTAAGTATCATACATTAGCTATGCTGAAAAATCAAAATCCTTATTGATACGTGAAACTAACGCTTTTGTATCTTAAAATAACATTTGGTGCACTCTCTGCCTCTTTCCTAAAATTAAAGGTTGTGTCTTTGCTTTCAAGTATAAACAAATGAACTGATCATAAATCTGTTTGACAAACTCTGTATTACAATGTTTACATCAATAAAACAGTATATCAACTTATCTTATACTATTAAAAGCTGAGCAAAATAATGAAAATAGATTATAGCTGAGCTGTAATTACTGTAAGTTTAAAAAAAAGCAAAGAATAATCAAGGAAGCAGTGAGATGACTAAGGTAATTTTAAATCTATTAAATGTAGTATTAGTGTATAGTCAGGCCTGATACATTCATAAAATTCATATCTCATAATTGCCATTCTGGTTTAAGGAAAACTTCCCTGTCTCTTCTTGCAAAGTGATAGATTAGCCAATTAAATTCTACTTTGCTTACTGCTGTAATACAAACTTTTCAGACAATCTACTCAGCTTAGTGTCCTGTCTCTGAGTGAATCCATTGCCTGTTCAGCCTTGCTTTTCGCTGAGGTCCAAAGTTTTGTCCTCCTGAAGAGATTTCATGTTTAGGAAAAATCCTGCTAAGTCACTCTGCTGCTCTGAGTTCTACAGAGAAAACCTGTTTTGATGCCCAGTAAAACAAAGACAACCCAGTCTAGAGTGAGCTCTGATAAACACCAGTGAAACTGTAACACGCACAAGCATTTTAGTAAATAAAAACTTTAGCTGCAGTGTAACACCATAACAATATTGAAACATTTGCATTTCAGTATCTGACAGAATGAAACCATCCTGGTAAAGAACAAGACTTCATAAAAAGGAATCGCCAGACTGTTGAAAAACCTCACTTTTTTAAGAGTAAATGTGCACAGTACTTGTAGCCTCCATGAGTGCAACAGAACTTGGATTCCATGAAGAAAAAGGACAATAATGTGACATTAAGGATTTACATTGCTTCCTTGCAACTCAATCATCCACTCCCAAATGAAGAGCTAGTAAAAAAGCAAGAAGTTTGATACTCTACAGGGATACACTAACTTGTTATTACAAAACCAAGAGCATTCCTCTTATTACAGTGGATGTTATATAGTCCTTAGAAGACAAATATTGCAGATGAATTACCTCTAAACCACTGTCTCACTGAAGTAGTTAAATATGCCAATATCTAGTCTAAGATAAAGAGGTGGCAATCAGGCAACTAATGGCAGTTGAAAGAGATCATCGGGCACATCACGACTGTACAAGAGTAGGTGCTACAGTTTTCCAGTGAGAGGAAGGAACCCTTCGCAATGAGACAGGTATCAGGCACAAAAGGATGTATCTTTATGGCTGGTTGCAGCTGACCTAGTTGTGGCCATGACTAAAAGGGATGTTCTAACATTGCTTTAGATCTTCCTGCTTAGCTGTCTCCTTTGGGAGAGGAGTAACACCCTAGTGACAAACAGCCAGTTCACTGGGCATTAACATGGCTGAAAACTGATGGGGACACACACCCCATTTATCCTCAGGCCACACTAGTGGCAGCAAAGGAGGAGCAGGCACATGCAGCTCACTAGTGTGGCACTGTCCCCCTGTCAAGCACTCTGGCCTCACCTCTCAGTAACAAAACCACTAAGTCTCTAACTTACGACTTCAAAAAGTACTCCATAAACAAGGTGAAGCATGGACAATCAGTTCATTAAAGAAAAGAGGGGAGGGAAGTGTTGAAGAACTTGATATGAGACTTCTGAGTTTAACCAGAAGTCCTCTCATGAGGACAGTCACTGAGAAGCAGCATTTGTAGTCCAGGCTATCCTTAACACCTGAGCTACTGAAGACCATGGTTTAATCCACTTAAGCATACAACGAGACAGATTTACTACATAGAGGATACTGCTGCTATAACCTCACCCTTTCCTCTGCCAGTCCTTCCACTAAAACACACTGCTGAAAAGATATAGATAGCTTTGCCTATATACTTTATCACAGCAAAGATCCATCATCAAATAATTGCATTACAATAGCAACTGCAGGTAATTCGACGTTCAATAGAGCCATGCCACACAACAGAAAATCATAATCCTACAGTTAGCCCTTCTTCTGCAATGTTTAGGATAAAAGCAAGATAGAGTGTACAGACAGAATTGTAGAACAAAATTAATGGATCAATAGAAGATCAAAAGGGAAATTGTATCAGTAAGCATCACAGAATAAGCCCTCGATCTTGTACTGTCCTCTGAACATGGCCAAACATTCACTGGTGTGCTGAGAGCTCTGTGTGATGAAGCAGCTCTGTAACTGGATGATGACAACTACAGGAGAAGGAAAAGCTAATTTGAACAAACTGGTAACAACATGAATGATCACAGAAAGTCTGTTACCAGTCCTCTTTAGACAGAAAAGATAGAGCAGCTGAGAGTCACTGTTCATCAGTTCACAAAATGTTCTCAGTACTTCCTTCTGTATTTCATGTTTTATGGAAAGGCCAAACAATCCATTCATGGTAAATAACCTCTCAACTGTGCCTGCTGGAGAAATAGGGCTTAGTGATCAACTAATGAGAAGTGGTTTATCTGATGTTGTGGAAGAAAGTTTTGATTGTGAAAAAAGTCAAAATTATCAGGTGAAGATATAAATGTTAATCTCCATAAATTTATTTCCATTCTGACTTGTCAGTTATACTTTTTGCAAGACAGTTTTTCCAGAAATGGGGCAGTGCTAAGAATGCTTAGGAAATTAACCGAGAGGTTTGGCTCGTAACAATGGGACAGGATTTCTAACTGGAAGAGCCATACACCATATTTCATTATGCTACATGCATTAAGTAGATCAACTGCTACTCAAGGAAAGACAATTTTTCAACTCTCAGAGTGTCACAGAATTATAGGATGATTCGGGTTGGAAAGGATCTTAAAGGTCATATGGTTCCAACCCCCATGCCCTAGGCAGGGACACTTTCCACTAGACCAAGTTGCTCAAAGCACCATCCAACCTGGACTTGAACACTTCCAGGGATGGGGTATCCACAGCCTCTCTAGGAAGCCTGTTGCAGGGTCTCACCATCCTCACACTAAAGAACTTCTTTCTAATATCCAATCTAAATCCATCCTCTTTCAGTTTAAGCAATTCCCCCTTGTGCCATTGCTCTGTGTCCCTGTAAGAAGTCCCTCTCCAGCTCTCTTTCAGGCCACCTCTAGGTATTGGAAGGCTACAATTAGATCACCTAAGAGCCTTCTCTTCTCCAGGCTCCCACTAAAGAGGGAGCTCTTAATCCCCGAATTTTATTTTCTTAAAAAATAATCTGCATCCTTTATAGACTTCATTTTCCAGTATTAACTAATCTACACAGCCTATAGCATATTTAAAATGGCTTAAAATTTATAATGCATATGTATACATGGGTACATATATACACACATGCTAAGTTTTGAACATATTTGCAACAGCAGAGAAGTATCTTTTGCCCTTGGACTGTCAATCAGTAATGAAAACTTGTTTAACTTGCTAGAGGTACTTGGCAACCTCTTTCCATCGCTGCAAACCTGAATCATGGGATACATAAAAGCTTTCATCACAAGGGAAAAAAAACGCCAACACAAATCTCACACTGTAATTTAAATTTTGTCTCGTAGTCACATCTCCTTTTAGTATTTTCCCATTTGTATTTTCTCTTTTCCTTTCTTGGATTTATTCTACATATCTTAACAGGCAACATTGAACTACTACATGTCACATGGCCATAATTCACTACATGTACTTACTGCATTTTTCATCACATCAGAGAGCATCCTGTTTCTCACACTGATGACTGCTGGATGCTTAGATATAACAGAGAATCAGCATTAGGCTGCTGTCATTTCAGAGTACAGCAGAAGAATTTGAGTTTTCTTTAGGATAGCTCCAGTAGATGCCCCAACCCTGGCAGTGCTCAAATCCAGGCTGGA